AGTCCTCTCACTAGCCTACTAAAAGGCTTAAAGGACGGAAAGAAGTATAGGCCTCTCCTGTAGGGAGACGCCGAGGAGTATACGTTCCGTAGTTTGAAGGATGCCTTCTAATAGGCCTCTGTCTTACGATACTACGACCCTGCGCTTCCTATACGTGTCGAAACCGACGCCTCTACGTATGCCCTAGGAGGTATACTAATACAGCTCTACGAAGGTGCCTAGCACCCTATCGTATACTAGTTAAGGAAGATAATTCCTACCGAGTGTAACTACGAGACGCATAATTAGGAGCTACTTGCAGTAGTCGAAGCGTTCAAGCAGTGGAGACCTTACCTCGAGGGCGCGCAGTATACGATTAGCGTAATCGTAGACTATACAAACCTTAAGGGGTTTATAAAGGTGAAGTAACTAAATAGTAGGCAAGCTCGGTAGGCTATATTCCTTACGCCTTTCGATTTTACAATCGAGCATAGGGCAGGAAAGAAGAACCTAGCCGATGCGCTATCGCGGCGTCCGGACTACGCGCGCGAGACGCAAGCGATGAACTATTTACTACTAAGCTTATAATCCAAGTTAAGGGTTTAGGCGAACCCGAGCGACGCAGTCGAGGTGACTGCGCGTCGCGTAGCTCTAACCTGCTACCGGCTGTATACTGATTATATATAGGCTACGGATATAGAATTCTATCCCCCTAAGAACAAGCTCGCGCTGCCTATGCGGGTCGTAACTACAGCAGTATCGATAGAAGATCCCTACATAAGCCTATTAGAGTAGTTACTTCTAATAGTACGGATACTTTAGGAGCGTAATCCCGACCTAAGGGTGCTCCGTATACAAGCGAGTGTCGTAAGTGTAGCGTATGTAGATCGCGGGAGTAGCGATGCCTCTATTATAGATTACGGGAGTAGTAATACTATAGCGTAGCGAGGTGTCGATAGCTATAAAGGCAATCTGGGCACGGACTCGTATATAGATCGCGGGAGTAGCGATACTACTAGACAGGATACGTAGGACGCTGCCTATTCCTTAAAAGACGGTATTCTGTATAGGGGTTAGGCTGTGTACCTTCCCCCTAATACCGCACTCGTCGCGTAGGTGATTCGTATACACTACGACGACTCCTTAGCAGGCTACTTTAGCAATACTAAGACGATTGAACTGCTCTCGCGGAAGTACTAGTAGCTAACCTTATTAAAGGATATTACGGAGTATATAAGTAGCTGTAGTGTTTGTTAAAAGACGAAGTCGAAGCGCTATCGACCCTACGGCGAGCTAACCTCGCTACTATACCCTAAAGGTCCCTAGCAAGAATTGACAATAGATTTTATTACAGACCTACCGCCGAGTAGGCGTGACGTATACGTATACGATACGATCCTCGTCATTGTAGACAGATTTAGTAAAATGAACCTGTATATTCCGACGAACAAAACTGTCACCGCCGCGGACCTTACGAGGATCCTACGAGACGAAGTAGTAAAGCGGTTTAGAGTTCCTAAAGGAATCCTATCCGACCGCGGTTCAGTGTTTACGAGCCAGTTTTGGAGCGACTTCTACTACGAGTCG